AAAAAGATAAAATAAAAATGTTAAGAAGACGTGCATATACAATTCCAAGAAATTAAGGAAAATCTTACTGAAACCATTTTTGCTTCTCCTCTCCTAGATACAACACAGTTTGACCAAATCCTACAAGCTAAATGTGTACACGAAATCAGCTAATATGGAACTTTTCTTTGCTAGATGAGAAAATCTTGGTAAAATGAAAAGAAAAATATAAAAGTTGCAAGGTAGACAAATAAGAAATATACAAACGTTGAATACCAACGAAACAAAACAAGATTTTATTTTACTTGGTTTTGCACCTATGCATAAGCCGAGATGATGAAAGGAAAATTGTTGGTCAAGAACTTATTTCAGTTATTTTGACTCCCATCTGATACATGGAAAAGAAAAATAAATGCACACTGCAAAAGCTTGCATAAAACAACGCTATCTTTAGCAATATTCCTTTTTTTCATTTTGGTTTTTCATTTCTTCTTTGTACGGGACTTTTCACATATTTTGATTATTATATCTAAAGAAATAAAAGAAAAAAGACAGGATACATAGAGAGGCAAGTTACAAATTAGAATTTATAAGCAAACATCATAATTGATGAATTGAGCAATAACAATAGTAGAACGATTCATAGTTTTAAAAAGTCGAAGGTTAATCGTATTATCTAATACCCTCGATTAAATATACAAGAGGGTGAAAGTTTTGTGTTCATAGATGCCATTTCCAAGAAAAACAAGTTCAAGCAGACCTGTTAGAGATGAATGATGCTACCTGATTTAAACTATAAATATCTACTCATAAATAAACAATGAATTATTACTCCTATGAGGATTAAAACATGAACAAAGAACTACTAGAAGATGTAATTGTGCTAGTATTGCCAGTTTCAAGAAAAATGTCAAAAAGAGAGTCTTGCCGGAAGAAGTGGAGCCATGGAGGGGTGGAGAATAGCTCTCAGCACCCTAACTTTAAGACAAACTCTTTTTTAAATGAAAGCTTCGCAATTTTGTGGCTATATATGCTTAGTTTGATGTAAACCTTTTCGGTCTAACTCTAAATCTTGTTACCACCAATGCTTCTAGAAATGGAACTTCAGACATAAAAAAGAAACTTCATGCAATTCACTTACAATCTTGACTTAAATTTGAATATGGCAGTTTTTGCGTGCCTGTTTGCATCATTCGAGCTTTGAATTATAAACTTCGCTTTTAACAAGAGAGTTAAAATAACTAAATAAACTCCACTTGTCATGGGTTTTCTGTGTATTTTTTTCCATTTGATATAAAACGATAGTTCTATCAAACATAGAGTTGATCTGATTGATAGAAGTCATGATTAGTGGAGAGAGTATATTAGTGGATCATAATAAAATAAAGACAATTACAAATTAATCAAGGCGTCTATAGTTACAAAAGTCATGAGCTTTTTAGGCCTTGTTGAATATCACACGAGATTTGATGATGATTTTTTTCAAATTGCTACGGTGCTATCAAGGTTAACTCATAAAGCAGTAAATTTTTTAATGGAAGGATCATTTTTATGAGGCATTCCAAAAAACCAAAATCTTCTTTAATAACTACACCAGTACTGACTATTAGGGGTGCCTAAAAAGTTCTTTGTTTGTGAACAACTCATGTTCGGCTTGTTAAGCAGTTTATATTAAAATTGTTCGTTAAGTAAGCGAGCTAAATATGAATAATTTCTTTTTTAAGCTCGAATTAAAAACGATTCGAACACGAACAACCTTTTGTTTGATTGTGTTTGTCTCGTTTTAGCTCGAAATAAAAAAATTATACATATTATTGATATAATAGTATGTAATGTATGTTTATATATAAGATTAAATCACTACATCTATTTGAGTGGCTAGTTGCCTTCTATTGCGAAAGAAGGGTGCAGGTTTGAAACCTTACAAATTCTAATTAATTTTGTTATTTAGCTTGGCAAATCAAGCCAAACACAAGCCATTTCGAACAAAATGATTGATATCGAGCCAAATACAAACAAATTTCTTATGAGTCTGATCCAAACACGAGCTGATGCAAATGAGTCAAACACAAACAGAGACATAGGTCGCTCAAAATCGGCTAGTTTGCACCCCTACAGACTATTCACTTAGGATCAGATGAATTTCAAATATATAGTGATACGTCTTTAAAAAAAATGGGATGTGTGTTTATGCAGCGTGAAAATTTTATTACTCATACTTCCACTCAATTAAAAAACCATAAAGAGATCATCCCGCACATGATTTGGAGCTAGCAACAGTTGTGTGACACTAAGAACTTAGAGCCATTACTTATATAAAGTCAAATGTGAAACTTTTACTGAACACTAGAGTTTAAAATATATTTTCACTCAAAAAATAATTTAATATGAGACAAAGAAGATGCTTGTGTTTGTTTAAAATTTAGATGTACAGTATCATTCGAGAAAGACAAATATTAATCCAAATGAAATTAGTAGGAAGCTTCAGGTAATTTAAATTTAATGATTACTCAACAAGAGCAATTAATTAAAGACATAGAAAGACTAATATTATTAGTGGTCCATTAGAATAATGAGAATGTTGATCAATTGAACCAGCTGACATATTACTATTTAAAAAATCTTATATCAAGTCAAAGTAAAAATCAAATTTTCCACAAGCAAATCTTGCGCATTCACAAAAGAGCCATTAATTCATAAAATTGTAATAAACATGAAATTATTCACATACAAGAATTGAGTAAATTAAGATTTTTGAATTGCAATAACTCAAAGTTGAAGCAAAATAACACGCGTATCAGTCACTACGTTTAAGCTAAAAAGAAATCATATGATAATGTTATTTCATTTCAATAACGATTATTGTTATAAATATTGCATTATACTAAAAATTATAAGTGAGAATAACACCATAATGTTCACTCAATTCCAATAAATGAACATGAATTGAAAAACATACCATATCAAAACTTGATCTTTAGATTTACTATTTTAATGCATCCACACAGGAGCACATCTTAAACATAAACCTAAGTCACCACTAATTAATGCATCTCCTATCTACAAAATATGACATAGCTCATAGTTTAGTATTATTCGTGGTGAGAAGTCACCTAATTTACCATTGATTGAAAAGTATCGTATTAACACAAGGCATAGCTCATAAGCGTACTATTAACCATAAAAGATAATTTATATCTATCAAGGCTTATATGGCAACCTATTAGACTTAAGTTAATAAAATTTAGTAAATCCTTTAAATCCAGATTTAGAAATCCTGGAAGACCTAAAGCCAAAAAATTGTTTGGCAACTGATTTAGTGAATCCAATTAAATCAAATGAAATTGTTTGCCAACTTCTGTCAAGACTTAAAAGATAGTCCTGCTTGTTTGAAATCAAAAAATGTAATTAAACTTTAATTATTTTATTTTTATGATAAAATTTATATTAAATTCAACTAAAATAAATTTAGATTTTATTTTTAATTATACTAATTAATAATTAATTCTTAACTAAAATAATTAATTGTCGATTTTTTTAATTAATTACTTATTAAACAATTATTATTCAATTATATTAATTAAAATTTTACTTAGACTTTGATTAAATTATTTTAATTTAAAATTTTAGTTTTATCCATTAATTATTAAATAATTACACATAAATTTATCTAATTGTAATTACTTTAAAAATATATGAATTAATTACTAATCAATTCAATATATAAATTTAATTAAATAAAAAAATCATAAGCATATCTTCCCCTAATCCTCTTTGCTCAAAATCCTTGGCTAGATCCTCTCCCAATTTCATCTAAATCTTTGCCCAAAATCCTCGCTTATGTTTGTCTTGCGGTTTTGCCCAAAACCGTGCAAAACCGTGGCCTTAGTGAACGAACCCTTGCGATAAAATCGCGATTAGAGCTAGCTAGGAAGGTGGCGATGGGATCGCGGCATACAGAGATCATCGAAACTCCCATCTTTCTCATCCTTTCACTCTACTCCTATTAGAAACCATTGAGAAATGTGAGCTTGTACGCACCGTGCTTCCTGTTCACTCGTTTTGGATTTACTAAATCGATCGATTCACAGGATAAAGTAAATCTGGGATTTAAGGCCAAAATCCACGAAATTTGGATTTATCAAAGTGGCAATTTTATTTTGTCCAAACTAATCGTATGGCAAAATTTAACCTAAATTCAGGTTAAATTCTAGTCAAAATCCGTTGCCAAACAACCCTTCAATGTGTAGATATATTATTATCTTAAACTAGTACTATAGAAGTGTGAATTTATGCTTTAACTTGTAAGTGCAGAAATTCATATATACACTTCTTGCATTCACCTCAACGTGCTTTATTCAAAACAAAAAGAAATGTTCATGTATAACAATATAAAGTTTTTCAGTTGCAATATAACATAATTTTCATATTGCTTTCTCTTCTCTACACTGAATTTTTAGTTTGTTGATTTCTATTCTTGACAATAGCTATGCTAATTTACTAAATAATGTTTCATCTTTACACAAATGAAATCTCAAAACCTTACAAAAAAAATTAGTTTTTAAACATCCTTTCATACATCAAAACTCTAGAATAATACAACTTAAGATTTGGCACTTCCTCGATGAGGATGCTTGTAATCCCCGCCGTCTTGTTGACAGTAGGCGTGCATAAAAACAGGAGGCATTCTTTCTCCTTGGGCAATGGCAGAGGAGCTAAATAAAAGTTGCCACATAGAGCCTATCAATCATGGCAGCAGTTGATAAACGCCAAGAAATATGCCTACTGAGGGTCAAGTGTGTCCTTTTGATAGACTGAAGGTTCTGCATGTTTGTGTACATTGTTATTGTCATTGACATTGCCATTGTCATTGCTACTGTTATTATTATTAGCAGTATTACCTGAGAATTATATTATTTGCACATCCTACTGTAAGTTTTAGCATAATAAAGACTAGTAATAAACCGAAAAGAGCACTAAATCGCTTCCAAAGGGAAAATAAAATACAAAAATAGTCATACCGTGCCCTGTGCAGCCCCCTTCATGCCTAGAAGCTGGTTGAAGCTGGAAGCACCAATATTTGTCGGTGCCTTAGTAGGAACCTCAGGCTTAGCTGCATTATTCAGCACAATACAATTCAATGCATCCAATACCGTCAACACTCCTCCGGACCAAATAAAATTAGCTAAACGAAAATAAAACTGAAGACATAAAAAGAAACAATACCTTCATTAGCATCAGTTTCTGCAGCCTTGACCGTCAATCTCCGCCCTAAAACCCATGAAATCGCCTTTGTTTAGGAGAATCGGAAGCCAAACAAGTGAACGGGGAGGATTCAATCGAAGCCTTACTGTATGAAGAAAGAGGTGGTGGTGAACGGAGATCTGACAACCTATGGCGGCGTGTAAACTGGGTCGAGACGGCGATTGAGGCAGAGCCATAGATTAAAGAAGCCATCTCTGGCGAGTAAAGAGAAGAATGGAACCACTGCGTGTGAGCTGCGGGACTGTGGAGTGATTGGGGTTCGGTACAAATAAGACATATTCGCTCAGTACTAATCACCTTAAACTAAGTGTGTAACCAATAAAATGTCACTCATACGTAAAGTCTGGCCCCACCTGTTAAAATAAATAAAATTAAAATAAATATTTTTTTAAATCATATTTGCGACCCGGCCCGAGCGAAAACCCGAAACCGCCTGCCTTTTCATTTTCTACTCACTATTACGAGTTTAAGGCTTAGTCTTCCTCGGCGAAACCCTCCGGCGAAACCATATTCAATAACAGCATAAAACTCTACTCAATAACTAGCATAAAACCAAATTCGGTGGACTCACATATATCTCCATGACATAATTTTGATGTGTTATTCTTGTATTATTCGTGTTTTATTCATCTATTATTTTTCTGTGGTTTAACTGTGTTACTGGTGTTAGGTATGGCTTATATCTAGGGAGTTTGAGTATCTTGTGAAGAGGTGTGTCTCCTGGTGAAAAGGAGTGTCTCTTGAAATAAAGGGGATCGGTTCATCGCAGGAGATTTTGCGACAGGTGGAGTACAGCAGGGTGCAGGAGGCGAGCAAGCACGATTATTTCGTGAACGGGAGTTTAGTGGAGGTATTCCTCTAACAGGTGCAAAGGGATTCGTTGCTCACGGAAACAGCAATTGGCTGAGGCACTGATACAAACAGGAAAAATGCTTCGTGGGAACATTTGATTCACAAATCATAGGAGAATTGCGGCATAGTTGCTGCATTTGACAAGGAAAATTTCATGTTTCTTTGAATTTATTTGCAGAGTATTTTCTTTTGTTTTTCGAAGGTTTTTCGAAGCAAGACAGCAAGACAAAAAAATACAGTGCAGGATTAAATTTCAAATAGCAATGTCTAGAGCAAACTTCGAGATAGTGATGTTCGATGGAACCAGGAACTTCGGATTGTGGCAAACAAGGGTAAAAGATTTGTTGGCACAACAGAAAATTTTGAGGGCTTTGCGGGTTACGAAACCTGATAATATAGAAGATAAAGATTGGGAAGAGTTACAACTTCGAGCGGCAGGTGCCATACGATTATCTCGCCATACGTTTATGTCTGACGTATGAGATTATGTATCATGTAATGAATCTGAAATCTCCATGAGAACTATGTAAGAAATTGGGATCTCAGTTTATGTCCAAATCTCTGACGAATAAATTGTATCTGAAGCAAATACTGTATGGGCTGAAGATGCAGGCAGACACTGATTTGGTTCAGCACTTGAATATCTTCAATCAAATAATCACAGAACTGACACTGCTTGATTTGAATATTGAGGACAGGGATCCTCCAAAGGAGTTCCCCCAAACTGATTATTCTGCACCAGTTGGATAATCTCAGGATTTATTTCAAACGAGTCAGTTTCTACGACTGGGTTTTGCATACTTGAGTAAATTTCATCTGTCATAAGATTTACGTAATCTTTAAATGAAGTATGATGATTTTTCAAGTTATTATCTTGAAAGTTTTCCATTTTCATTTCTAGTTTTTCAAGTCCTCTTTGTATTTTTATTTTTTTATTTTTTTCAAACTCGGGATCATAAGGCGCAACACAACAAACAATACATTAACAATTAAACAAATAACATATGAAATATATTCAACACGACAAAACATTTTCATGAACACCTTATTTTTTATAAAAATAATTTTTTTTCCTTTTTCACAACACTTTTTCATATAAAAACACTTTTCACTCAAAACAGTTTTTCGGACACTACAGCTTTCCAAGTATAAGCCTAATTACTTCAACTAAAATTCTCCTAAAGTTCTTACCGAAGCTTCCCCGACAACGGCGCTAAAACTTGACAACGACTTTTTATATACCTAAAAATACAAGAATTTGACACCGCTACTAGAAGATTTAAACCCTTGGCAGTGACACCAAAAACTTGATGCAACTTTTAATATGCAAGAATTTATGAACCCAGATTTATATATTTATAATGATTTTGTAAAGTCACAATTTCAAACGCAAGTATACGTATCGCTCAAGTAGTAGAAGACTCTAGTGGAGTCTCGTTTATCGATCCCACAGGGAAGCGAGGTAAGAGGGCCTTAGTCAAATTCTAATCTACTACCATTAGTCCTTAGTTTGGAAGTGTGAATTAAGAGGTTTTACTAACATATACTCCTAAATGTACTTAAGTTTAATTCTTAAGTTTAACACAACTAATAACTACTCCTAAATGCAAATATTAATTCTAAAGATAACCCTTTTTGGATGAATTTGTTTGGAGAACTTTGATATATTAAAAACTACTATTCTTATGTAATGAATTAGATAATGTAAAGGAATGAGATGCATTAAATATTGTATGTATCAAATAAGAGTAATCTTATTCTTTACCCTTTGGTCCAGACATAAAGAACATTGACTAATTGACAACGACTTTTTATATGTTTAAAATATAAGATAAATATGGACGTAATAAATATTCAATAATTGTAAAGTCACACTTATCAACGCAAGTATATGTATCGCTCAAGTAATACAGGGCTCTAATGGAGTCCAGGATATCGATCCCACATGGAGTAGTTTAGAATTACGAACTATGATTTTAGAAAAGTAATACTTTAATCACAACAACGAAGTTCAATTTGTTTATCTGTCACTAATAGACAATTGAAATAAATAAGTAATTTTAATAACAATTAAATAACTAATGATACTGAGGAGGGTTTGATTGTGATATTCAATATATAAGAAATCATCATTCTCTTTGTCAAGAAATCATAGTTAATGGATAAAATAAATTAGTTCAATTTACATTGTGTCAAATAAGAGCATACCTATTCTTTACCCTTTGGTCTAGACATAAAGAACATTGGCTGATTCTACACTTATTTACTGAATCTGCGGTTAGGCTGGGAGGATACCGACTCTCACTTCAGAGCTCCCACGTTCCCCTCACCTGAGGGCTAACATCTACACTTCAGCACCCAAACGATAGGACCGAATTGGGGATTTTAGTCTGTCACTCTAAAATCTCTAATATAATGAGAAAGACAGAGAAAACTACTCAGATCTCATGGGGAAAACATAACAAAACTCGGAATTCATATATAAAATCAAAGTCATACAAACTACAGCAAGTAAATAACTTATCTCTAGTTTCTCCCCAAGAACACTCCTCGAAGTTCCTCTAAATCTTTCCTTTCTTTACAGCACACTGAATTCCTCTTCGAAGTAGCAAGAAGGAAGAAATCTCTCACTTTCCCGCCACTCTTACAATCTCTCGAAGAATTCCTCACAATATTGAAACTCTAGTAAATTCACTATACACTAATGGAACATCTCTAACATTCAGGACATTTCTAACATCCAGGACCTCTCTAATTTTCGGTTAAAATCTTTTTTTAAAGTTGTGGATGAGCTTTCCTAAGAGTTGCATAAGCATCCCTTCAAAATTTGGCATTATCCAAAGCTTGAATAGAAATAACCGTCGATCTCACCATCGACGGCCTCAAGGGCTCCGTCGGCGGGCTTTTGAAGAATTTCGTCCTGTAGCCTCGGGAAAAACTCGTCGTCAGCGGGGTCGAGGGCGTCGTCGGTGGCCTAGTTTAAATTTCCACATTTTGGTTCTTTTCACTCCAAATTCGCTCCTTTTTGCATCTTTTTGCTCCAATGACCCTAATTCATCATTCCTACAACAACAACAAAACATAAAAAATACCTTTCTTTAAAGTGCAATATCATTAAAAACAGTATAAAATAGGTATGAAAATCTCAACATATTTTTCTTTAGTCACTAATTTTATGCATGTTTATTGAATCTGTGGCTAGGCTGGGAGGATACCGGCTCTCACTTCGGAGCTCCCATGTTCCCCTCGCCTAAGAGCTAACATCTCTGCTTCAGTTTCTAAGCCCTAGGACCAAATTAGGGATTTTAGTCTGTCACCTTAAAATCTCTAATTCTACGTCTATTAAAGTATATTTCCCTATTTATTTGCACTCAACTCTCATGAATGTCACAATCCATAGAATTTGAATGTGGTTTTACTTTATTGAGAATTACACCGCCCTTTCAGATAAATAAAATTACAACAAAATTAAACACTACAATGAGCCCTTGCTATAATGTAAATGAAGTGCAAGTAAAAACCATCACATTTATAATTAAATATTATTCAAACAAATATCCTAAAATCCTAAACATGAATTCTGCTCATTTCAAAAGAAATGTAAAGTGAAAACAATGACATAATATTCTCATGTCATTATTTCCAAATAAGAAGAAAGTAAAAGAAGCCCATCACAAAGCACGAATAAAACACAACTAAAACTTCATTTAACCAAAGCAAATTCATTAGATAAGTGTTTACAAAAATCAAAAGATAATGAAGAACACAATACTTAGTTTTTCCCCTTTGAAAGAAAGACGAATATCTCTCCCACAAAGTCTCCCACCGATCCATGCAATGCTAGAATATCTTCTTACAAATTCTCTCAAAACCTCCTCTCCAATCTCTCCAAAAGGGTAGAAATCTACATTTCTACTTCTATTCTAAAAAACTCTAAATTTTCTCCACAATTTTCCTAACATTCCTCTCACAAAAAACCATTTTTTAACCTAAATTCATTCTTTTAAAGTGTAGGGACGAAGTTTGAAGAGTTGCCAAAAGAATCCTTTCAAAAAGCGTCTAAATATGTCGAATCTGGGCCCATAACCGCAAAAATAGGTCCATAGTCGTCCTGGGCGCCGTTGGCTGGCTCGAAGGTGTCATCGACGAGATTTTCTGTCATTTTTTTGTATGCTCGGGTAAATCTCGTCGTCGACAAGCAGACCGCGCAGCTCCACCATTTCGCTCCATTTAGTTCCGTTTTAGCTCTATTTCGCCCCATTTTAGTTGTGTTGTGTTCCTAATAGATAGCCCTACAAAATAAACATAAAAATAACATTCCTTTAAAGTGTAATCTTATTAAAAAAATATGTAAGAAGTGTAAAAGAGATTAAACATCGAAAGACTTATCAAAAGGTGACAAAGCAAAATTTAATTTCTTTCTC